CAGAGTCCCTTCCAACTCTGAGATTCTAGAATTCTGTTTCTAAAAGGTTTTTAAGTAAAGAATAACATAGCAGCCCTCTGATCCAGCACACGGCTCCAGGAACCTCTTTGGGGTGCCGTAGGGAGCTCATGTTGGAGGTTCCTGATGTGGGCTTAGTCCCCACATGTCCAGTGCAGTTCTTGTTGTGTTGCACAAGGGACTGGGATCAAAGGGACTAGTGTGATTTAGATCTCAAACCTATGAAATTTGAAGACAAAATACTATATTAATATTGTACCCTGTAAATCTTTCCTCGCATTAGCAGCCTTCTGGTAAAGTTTGCCAAGGAAGCATTGCCATATGTGCTGATGGAGCTGAACTAAAATGAGAAGATTAGAAAACTAACCACACTAATAAATTTCATTTGAGGCAGTTGGAAAATAGACTGCTGTTTTGACAAGTTAGAAACAACACACACATCCATTCTCTGTTAAAATGAGTTTCCAGAATCCAACAGAAACATCTTATATTAGAAGCCTAATTTTTCTGCTGAGTTACCCAGATGTCAAACATATATGTACTTTAAACTTCACTGTGATCGTGTTGAAGTGCCGTAACAAGACTGGCTGTTTTAGGCGTTACTGAGCCACATCCCCGCCCCCCCCCCCCCCCCCCCCAGTCAGGGAACCAGGAAGGTTCTTGAAATTCCCACCGCTGTGACTTTTCATCGTCCCACAGATCATGACCCTTTCCAGAGAGCATTTACACAGGGCTGCCAGTGTCCAGGCCCAAGTCCGTAGTGGCACTCGGTTCGGGTTGCAGTCCACAGCTGCCTTTGTTTCCCCACTTAGCCAGGGCAGTCACCACAAGAATGGTCCTTATCCAGTGCGTCCCCATGTGCCAACATCTGGCCCAAGTCTTAGGAATGGATCTGTACTTTGGTTTTATTCTTACTGAGTTGAAGTTACTCATTTAGTGAAACTCAGGGCCTCCGATTATATTACTTAACCTCTTGATTACTCTCCCTGCCTTAGGTCTCTGCCCTTAGCATCTGTCCTTCACTTGCCTCTAGAACTTTTTACTCTTTGAACTTCACTCTTTACTTTAAAAGCCACCCCATGTATCTGCAGAATTTGGCACAAGCTCCTTAGTGTGCCCGGGGAGAGAAGCAGTATGATGCACCAGATAGGAGCACCCCCTCCAGCCAGACCGCCTGGGTTGAACCCATTCCCCCATCTAACAGCTGAGTGACCTTGGGCAGGCTCCTTAAAGTCTGTTGCAGTTTCTCTTGATGAGGTAAGAATAACTTGCGCTGAGTTACTCTTTTGACTTGTGTGGATTAAATGTGTTGATTCACCTAAAGCCTGTAGAATAGTTCCTGACTTGTGGGAGGTGCCCCCGAATACTGGCCGTTGTCACTGTCACTACTGCGGTTACTTATCTCCAGGTCCGTGATCCAGCCACAGCCTTCAGTGGTCTTGCCCTAACCCTGACTGTGCCATGCTCTTCAGACTTGGGTGCCTTTCACTCACTGGCCACGGCGCCCTATGTTCTACCCACATCTCTTTTCTCCGGTGAACCTCTGCCTTGCCTTCAAGACCCAGGGTGCTCTCCTCCCTCTTCCTGGTTCTTTCCGCTGTGTTCACATAATTCTTTGATGCTTCTTGGCTCTGGTACTCACCACTCTTTTTTTAGGTGGTTTATCTCCCTTCGGGGGCACACAGAGATACCTAGGGGTTCCCTTTTCTTCTACACTGAAAATTTTTCTTGGGACAGGGGGGCGGGCACAGACTTTGCTGTGTCCATCCCAGTTCCTTCCAGTCCCAGGTGCACAGAAGGCACTTGGTAAATGTTTGCTGAACAAATAAATATTTGCTGCCCTATATTTAGTCTTAAATACAGGGCTTTCTCTTTTGTTTGGTTTTGTTTTTGCTATTCACAGTACATTACTAAATTTATAGTGAGAAAGACAAATCTCGATAGCTTAAAAGGCTAGCTGAAGTGATTGTGTCTTAACACTGTAGTCATTTGGCTCCGTGGGCTGTTTTTTATTAGTCATTTTAAAAGACTGTCACGGGGTAGTTACAGAGATAAGAGATCATCATTTAAATCACAGTGCTTTCAGCCCATCCATGGTTTTGGTCTACAATTTAATGATGAGAAAAATACATCTAGTGAGTAAATATTTAACAAAACATTTTGGTACTTGACCTGAATACAGAGGAAAATGGAAATTGTAAATGTTAAGGTGTAGTTAAAACAGTGCAAACCCTATATTTTACCTGTAGAAATTAGCATTGTAGTTGTATAAAGTCATTAACAAAGCCTCTCTCCTCATATTAGAGACATCGTATTCTGTCATTTGGTATAAGTAAAAGATTCATAAGTGAATGTAGTCTAGGAGGAGAGAGTGCTCACTTGGAATAAGCACTTGCTTGGCCCAAATGGTTTCGTATTCATGTTTTCTGTGCTGCTCTGGTTCATTTAGAGTATAAAGAGCATACATAGCCTGCCTCCACCTAGTGAGAGCAGAGTTTTGGTAAGAGTTTACTTGAGAGAGAAAGAAGACAGAGATCTGATTCCAGGGTAGGAATGTCCCTAGGACCTGGCCTCAGAGGGACCAGAAGATGGTCAGGGCCGCTCTCCCCACCTGTGCGCCCTTCCTGGGCTGTGTTCTCTCTCTTTGGTGTGTCTGTTGCACTGGCTTCACATTCTCTTCTGTCTGTCCGTCCGCTTCTTTTCTTATGCTTCTGCTCCTCATGCTTCATCGAGGCAGTAGGCCACCCAGGGTTTCAGCCGGCCACCCTCCCGACTCCACAGGGCGTCTGCTCCGTCTGTGCCTCTGTGCTGACTGGCTCTTCACTCTCAGGGCTCTGTCGCAATCCTGGACGAACACTCCCCACTGGCTCGCTAGCAGTTCAGAGGTCCCAGGTTGCTGGACTCATGGCCTGCGCGTGTTTTAGGTTTCTTATCCTTGTGCGACCACCTGTGGGCCTGCGTGAAGCAGGATCCAAATATGGCAGCCTAGAAAAGACATTGCAAACTCAAGTCCAAGGTCAGGCAGGTTATGTACGTGAAGAAAGGCAGGGTGTGAGAGGCAGATACATGTTTGCCATGGAGCACAGGATGGGTGAGTGTTGTCTAAAAACATGGACTCTTGAGGAGGAGGGCTCAGGTTGGAATCCCACCCTCACCATTTATTAGCTGGGTGATTCAGAATGGATGAATCTCTGTGTGCCTCATTTTCCTCTCTGCAGGGTGGTTATAAGGATTAAATGAGTCAGTAAAGTGCTTAAGGTGGTGCCTGATACATCCTAAGTAATACGTTAGCTGTTTTTAGGTCAGCTGTTTTTAAAGAACATTCTCATTAGCGTCAGCATCCTTATCATTGAGTTCCACAGTGAAATGAGCTTTCTCCCATTTTTCCTAAAACATGAAGCTGTTTGTGCTTTTTGTAGAACCAGAGGCACAGAAAAACATTTCTCTCTTGTGAAGATAGCAGCAGAGCAAGAAAAATGATGAATGACAGTTGTCCTCAGTCCCGTGTCGGCATTAGGGAGTGGGGGGCCTTAGTGAACCGATGCTCAGTCCTAACAGGCAGAGCCTCACCCAACTGGAGCAGATTGCCATAATGTCAAAGAGGCCAAGGGCTGTCAGATTAGTCCATCCATTGATCGATCGATCTGTCTTTACATCTTTACAATAAGCTTGAATTACGTTTGAAACCTTGTACTACTCAATAAAACACATCTGCAGACTGGATACAGACAGCCCTCAGGCTAGTGACTTTTGGCCACAGGCTGAGGGAGATGGTGTGTGCCAGGCTGGTCTCTCCAAAGAGACTGTAAGTAGACCTTCTTAGGTTGACGAATTAGAAAATTGTTGTTCCCAACAAGGGCTAACACCGTGAAGTTCCTCTCAAGGACAGCAGTATGACATGGGAGAACAATGCATTCTGATCCTCAAGGTTAGCTCACAGTGTGTTTCCAAGAAAAAGCATCTGCCTTTCATTTTATTTTCTTAGAACAAATGATAATAACATTTTTTAGTATACCTATATCGGTCTGCTCCTGTTGTGAGTGCCTTTCCCAGAAGCGGCCCTTTCCTGTCAAAGGCATCCTCTTCCTGTGCTCTGATACGTAATTCCCACTCAACATACTTAAAACAGAGCTTTTCACTTTCCACCCCAAACCTGTTACTCTCCCCAGGCTTCATCTCTCCCCAGGTATTCACGTCAAACCCAGTTTTATGTCCTGTCTTTTTACACAGCAGCCAGAGTGGTGTTTTTAAAATGTGAATTAGCATATCACTCTCCTGATGGAGGCTTGTAATTCCTTCTCATCTGACTTAGGCTCCTGGCCTACAGTGCGTCTATAGCATCTGGCCCCGACCTGTGCCTGCTCGGGCCTGCTCTTTGCCAGGTGGCTCACTGACGTTCACCCTCATTTTTGAGCACACCGGGCTTGTTCCTATTCTGCTTTCGTTGCCTTATCTGTTCCCTTCCAGGATGCATTTTTCCCCAGTTGTCACGTCTTCAGTAAAGCCTCTCCCTTCCTTCCACCTGGGGCTGGTCAGAGCAAGAACCTTGTTTGTCTTGTGCTTGTCACCAAGTTATAGTTGCTAATGAATGAATGGCTAAACTGTGGGCCTCCAGGGGTGGGCAGATGAGAAAAGTGTTAGAAAAAAATAATATAGTGGCTAAAGTACACTTATTTCATGTATTTAAGAGGCAGGAGGGAAAAGAACAAACTATGGAATAATGAGATTTACTATATCACTAATACTGTTGATTTACCCAACGTGCAAACGACCCAGAATATGAGTGGGAATTTACTTGGTCCTGATGTGGCTCTTAGACACATTTGTACTTACACATTCCATTTTGAGTATTCTCATTAAAAGTAATAGCCTAAAATCGCAGCAGAGATTGCCCCAGTGTTTAGATGGTGGTCCCGTCTTTAGAGTTGCTGATTTGTTTAGTTAACGGTAATTTATTTAATATACTTTTTGTTGCTTTTTAGGTCTGTTGCCACAGTTACTGGGAGTTGCCCCAGAGAAGGCCATAAAACTTACAGTAAGTCTTTTCAGTTGATGCTTCTTATGCAGAGAGTTTGCACACTCAGGAATCTAGCAGATATTCTTATGGGAAACAGCAGGTTTGTGTTTCCTCGGAGGTGCTAGCTAATTCGAACCTAGGCACTCGTCACACAGTTTTTTCACCGTCCTCCACTGAACACTGAACATCCAAAAATGTGATGCTATATTTGAACAGGACTTGTGGTGGCTGCTACCACCACCACCACCATCAGCCACCACCACCACCAACCACCACCATCAACCACCACCACCACCACCCACCACCACCACCATCAACCACCACCACCACCACCACCACCATCAACCACCACCACCAACAACAACCACCACCATCAACCACACCACCACCACCAACCACCACCATCAACCACCACCACCACCACCCACCACCACCACCATCAACCACCACCACCACCACCATCACCAACATCAACCACCATCACCACCAACCACCACCATCAACCACCACCACCACCATCAACCACCACCACCATCAACCACCACCACCACCACCACCACCACCACCACCACCAACCACCACCACCACCACCACCAACCACCACCACCATCACCACCACCACCACCACCACCACCACCACCATCACCACCACCACCACCATCACCACCACCACCAACCACCACCACCACCACTATCAACCACCACCAACAACAACAACCATCATCACCACCACCATCAACCACCACCACCACCACCACCATCAACCACACCACCACCACCACCACCCACCACAACCACCACCACCACCACCACCCACCACCCACCACCACCACCGCCACCATCAACCACCACCACCATTAACCACCACCACCACCAACCACCACCATCAACCACCACCACCACCACCATTGACCACCAACCAGCACCATCAACCACCACCACCAAGCACCACCAACCACCACCACAACCACAACCACCACCCACCACCACCACCACCACCACCCACCACCACCGCCACCACCACCACCACCATCAACCACCACCACCACCATCAACCACCACCACTACGACCCACCACCTCCACCATCAACCACCACCAACAACCACCATCACCACCACCATCAACCACCACCACCACCACCCACCACCACCATCAACCACCACCACCACCACTATCAACCACCACCAACAACAACCACCATCACCACCACCATCAACCACCACCACCACCACCACCACCCACCACCCACCACCACCACCGCCACCATCAACCACCACCACCACCAGCCACCACCATCAACCACCACCACCACCAACCACCACCACCACCACCACCACCACTATCAACCACCACCATCAACCACCACCACCACCGCCACCATCAACCACCAACCACCATCCACCACCACCACCATCCACCACCACCACCACACCATCAACCACCACCACCACCCACCACCACCACCACCCACCACCATCAACCACCACCCACCACCACCAACCACCACCACCACCACCATCACCACCATCACCACCATCAACCACCACCACCAACCACCACCAACAACCACCACCACCAACAACCACCACCACCAACCACCACCATCAACCACCACCATCAACCACCACCACCCACCACCACCAACCACCACCACCCACCACCACCACCACCCACCACCACCACCATCAACCACCACCACCACCAACCACCACCACCACCCACCACCACCACCAACCACCACCATCAACCACCACCACCAACCACCACCACCCACCACCACCAACCACCACCACCCACCACCACCACCACCCACCACCACCACCACCATCAACCACCACCACCACCAACCACCACCACCACCCACCACCACCACCAACCACCACCACCACCAACCACCACCACAACCACCACCCACCACCACCACCACCCACCACCACCCACCACCACCCACCACCACCACCCACCACCCACCACCACCACCACCACCACCACCAACCACCACCAACAACCACCACCAACAACCACCACCACCACCACCATCAACCACCACCACCACCACCACCCACCACCATCAACCACCACCACCACCCACCACCATCAACCACCACCACCACCCACCACCACCCACCACCACCACCACCACCACCACCACCACCATCACCATCATCACCAACAACAACCACCACCGCCACCACCACCACCATCACCACCACCACCAACCACCACCACCACCACCACCACCACCACCACCAACCACCACCACCACCACCAACCACCACCACCACCACCACCACCACCCACCACCACCCACCACCACCCACCACCATCAACCACCACCCACCACCATCAACCACCACCACCATCAACCACCACCACCACCACCACCATCAACCACCACCACCACCACCACCATCAACCACCACCACCACCACCACCACCACCACCATCAACCACCACCACCACCACCACCACCATCAACCACTACCACCACCACCAAAGTGGCAGCAGCTGCTGCTAAATTGGCCTCCATCCCTACCAGATGTATGGTACATGTATGTACCCGTATGATCTGTTATTTAATCTCCAGCAAAGTGGGACCGAGCATTTACAGATGAGGAAATGGGGCCCACAGGGTTTCAGTATTTACCTGCATCCACAGAATTCATGAGCGGAAAGATAAGAATCCAAAACCAGCTAGAATTCATTTTCGGATATATTCTATAAGCATCTGCCAGGCCACCTGTTCAGGAGTCTGAGTTCTAGTTGAAGTTGATCCTTTATCCAGTGCCAGGCTCTCGTGTGACAGATGGGAGATACTCAGTAAGTTTGTGGAATGGACAGATACTGCTATTATATCAGGAAGGTTATAAGGCCCCAGAAAGTTAAACTACAATTTTAGATTGGGCTCTGTAGCCTTGGTGCCTGAAATTCTTTTACTTTGTTATTGTGTGGCCTTGGAACAACTCATCTTTTCTGGCTTGTGTCTTCCAAAAATATGATTGATTTTTAAGATGGCTTGTAGTACATACCATTTTGAGTACATTATACTTAACTAATTAATTAAGGTTACTGATGTTGAGAATTCTTAGATACTAAATTTTTAAGCTGAAAAATCTGCTTAGCCAACTTTGTCTCGGTGATGTGTTTTGTTTTAGATTAAATTTTGTTAGCAGACATGAAAATGATTTTTAATCAGACTTGGTAAACCAGTTCTTAACTTCTAAAATGTATGTTTTTATTGTGTCCTTGGTGTCAATACGTCTTTCTTACGCTACTGTAATTGGTGGACATATTTGCATTTTTTTAGGCTGGTAAGCCATCTATCTTTTTTTTATTTTAAAGACTTGATTTTTAAGTAATCGCTACTCCCAACATGGGGCTGGAACTCACAACCCTGAGATCAGGAGTCACATGCTCCACCCACTGAGCCAGCCAGGTGCCCCTAAGCCATCTGTCTTTCAGTTTCTTTCTCCCAGAAACATCAGGAATACTTATATATATTTTACCTTTTAAAAAGTACATATGTGCTATTAAAGGCACTTCTCAAACTCTTTTAAGATCCTTAATTTATTCAGTTTATGATTACTTCAGTATACTGACAGAGAAAAATAACATATTTACAGTTGTATATTTATATGTGTTTAATGACTTTATATTTTTCATCAGCTTCTGTAAATATTTTTCTTCAAGGTGAATGATTTTGTGAGGGATAAATTTATGAGCAAAGATGGTTCGGTCCCACTTGCAGCAGAAATTCTTGCTGGCGGCTGTGTAAGTACCTTTTACATAACTCTGCGTTGAAAAGACTTGTTTCCCATGCATACCCCCACCATGGTAACCTAATGTGGACTAAGGCTTCTGTTCAACCACAGATCCTGTGCAAGGGCAGAGTCTTCTAGGGCCCGAGAACCATTCCTGAGATGGAAGGGTAAATGTTTGTGATCTTACTGCCTGTTAAGTCATGCCTGTTAAATCCGTCATTGCTTTCGGTTGGTTCTGTAGTAGAAGTGATTTGTGGCAGAAAGTGTTTGGCCTTTGAAAGAATCTTTGCTAACCTTTTCCTAAAGTTAATTTGTAGTACGTTCTTTCCTCATGGCACCCTCTGCTGGGTCAGGCACTAAAATTTGTAGTTTGGAGTCGGCAGGCATAGCCCTCTGCTTTGCTTTTGCCTTCCACATACCAGCACCTCCTCAAGCTTCCCTGTGCTTCTGGAAGAAGGATGCTGGGAAACAACTGGCTGAGTGTGCTCCGCATTGTTGAAACCGCTTGGAATGAGTATTGCTTTATATGGATGAACAACCTGCATCTTGTTCTTAAGCTCAGCAAAACATGATGTCTCATTTTATCTCATGTACAGGTTTGTTCATGTGAATGCAAATACTTTAAGTAAATTAAACTCTTCTACAAAGACTGGTGCTATTTGAAGATAAGGTTAGTTAAATAAATGGGCTTTGATCACTAGGGCAATACAGTACTGGTATATTTTTCATCTAAACCTGTTTCTTTTCTTATAAGAAAGATGAGGTCACTTATTTTTTTAGTTAGCTTGTTCTGTGCAGGAAATGGCCTTCATAAAATAATCTTTTCTTGAAAATCATTGCGTTTTGGTGCTGGGTAAACACCTGAGAATATTAAACCTTTGTTCGGAAAGGGCTTATTGTCCTGTCTGACTTTGAATGGGAGCAGGAGCTAAGAAGGCCTCGTCCTGGTCATTCTGAAGAGATAGACGGAATTTGGCTCTTGCCTGACTCTCTTTCTGTTTGATCACTGACCTGTCATAGATGGCCAGGTAGGGTCCCCTTGTCCTGTAACTTTAGGAGCATTCACAGTGGAAAAGGGAGGCTTTATTGTGCTAAATAAAAAGGGCACCCAATAATAATCAAAAAGAAGGTGCAGAAGGAGGTGCAGAAGCCGCTCTTCCCATAAGTACGCTTCATTTGAAACAACGGGAGTGTCCGTTTGAGGCACTCGGTTTTCTCATGTTAAAGGGGCGCGTCCACCGGCTGTCCCTGGCCTGGCCTCCAGGCTGTTGCACGGGTGTTTCTGTAGGTCAGGGGGGTTTGTTTCTCTTAAAAAGTCAGGTTGTAAACCTGCTGGAAAAGACATGATTATATATCTCTGTCAGAGTTTAAAATGTGAAATTAATTATGTGATACTCCTCCAGATTTTGGCAATAACCTGGAGGTTTATTACCTTTTTAACGAAAACATTTTGCCTGCATGTGGGTCTGGGAGATGGGTTGTGGCACGTATTGTCTGCCGTAGGTGGTCTTGTTTTCTTGTCTGTGGTCGCCCATTTCAAACACAAAGCACAGGTTGGCATCAGAAGTGGTGCCTAGTTACTGTAAAGAAGTGCAGCGCGTCTTCAAGCCTGATCTAAACATGGGCTTAAGATTGGAGCCACTTGGGTTTTGCAGCTACTTAAAGTATCTGTGAAATGAGGTTTGCCATCCTTCATCTCAAAGGCGGATAGACTGTGGTCCGCGGTTTTCAAGCCTCCCTTTCGCTCCCCCCTCCGCCCCCCCAACACTGCTTTAAGAACTCAGAGTTTATTTTTCAAGTGAACAATCCTGTAGGTAGCAAACAATGCAGACCCTTCAGCTCGCTGAGCAGCGGGGTGGATGATCCCATTCTCAGTGTGTTTTTAAGTCAGCAGCATCCTCCTTTGCTGCGACCGAGTTTCCCCGCCCTTGGAGCCAGACACACACCTTAGACGGTCCGCGTGGGCTCCCCAGGCTCGCCTCTCCAGTTGGGAATACAGAGGCCTTTGAGAGGCTGGGTCACATGGCCAGCTGTCCTTCTTAGTTCACCCAAGCGTGCCAGACTCTGACTTTTAAGTCCCCGCGGAGCCCCCCTGGCCCCTGGCTTCATTATTACCGAGAATTAGTACACATGGCTGACTTTTCACTTGTAACTGAAGCTCCTCATTTCTTTGAAGAAAGCTTTTTCTGTTTTATAGTCTGTTTTTTGCAAAAACAGGGAGAATACGCAGGGAGGTCTTTGTCTCGTAACCTTCACAGCACTTGGCAAAACTAATAGTCTGTTTTATTATATTGTTTCGGAAAAACGACCACAGTGATAGTAAATTTGGAGGAAAATTTTAGAAGAAAAAGAGAATAAAATTAATCCCATTCATTAACTGACTTTTGATTATAACAAAACCTGTAACTGTGAAGACATTAAAAAAATCTTCTGTTTCATTGATGTGTATAAAAGGGTCAAATCTGACTTTATTTTTAAAGTCATTGTTTGCACTGAGCTCAGTTTTGGTTTAGAGCACTGTTAAAAATTTGACTTGAGCTTTCTGAGCATTTTTGTAGATTCACGCATAACAGTAGTGATATATTCAGCACAGTTCAAGACCAAACTGAAATGCTGTGCCTGGGGTTTACAAACTCTGAGTCCGAAAAGTTCTTTGTGGTTTGTGTGTACTCCGTACATTGGTTTGCTGTGCGCTGTATTAGGCTAGTAGTTTTAGGAGTTTTGACGGAGACCCAGATCCTCAGGCATCCCTGCACAAAATATATATACCTTCTGTATCTTTCCATCTTTCCCCTTCTGGGGTCGGAAGCTCAGTGCCTGGAGGGGGACATGATTAGGGGCCACTGTCAGTGACCAGAGGAGAAGGGGCCCGTCACTACGCATTTCCTAGTAGTTTCCCAGTGAATTTAAAAACTGACATCGTCTCTCACCACGTTGTTATTGATGCCTTGCTGCTGCTTCTACCTGACACAGTGATGCCATGTGCTCTGAAAGTGGCCGTCCTTAGTTCGCAAAACAAGTGTGCAGTGACAGTCTTCTCTGCTTCCGGTGAAACAGAGGGTTGAAATCCTGAGGGGTCTGGGATCTTCTGGTTTTTGATCCTTTGATCTTAATAAGTCATCAGATAAGGAATTACAAGTGGTGCCATGACTGGTTTCAAGGAGAATATAAATATGATGAGTAACTTAGTTGGCACGAAAATAAATCTACACCGAAATGAAAAGAAATGAAATAATATTCACCAGGGAGAAAAAAGGTAACCAAGTATAAACCTCTCTCTTTTAAAGTTCATATTTAGTAAAAATTATTTGCATACCAATAGAAAATGATAGTATTCTGAGATAATTTTTAGAAAGACAAGTAAACATGCTTTTTGAACAATAATCCTTTGACAATAGGCCCCCGGTTTTTTTTTCTTTTGAGATCCCTACACACAAACAGATGCACGTGTGTGTGTTTGTGTGAGAGAGATATATCTAATGCTTATGGCAGTTTATACTCATTTCAAGTGGCAGAAATAATTGATGTGCTCCGTCACTGGTTTGGAAAAGGACTGGTGAGGCTGTGGCACGAAGAGCAATCTTAACTGCAGCCCCCTCCAAGTACGGCCCTGTTGCTGTTGCCTGTATTCCCGTCATTACGGTGATCCCCATATGCATTGGTATTTTTATGCCTGTGTGTTAGCTGTGTATCAGATACCATTTTCCAGGCAAGCTTTTATCACTCACCTTTTTTACATCACATTCAGTTGCAGTTAATCTTTATTATTTAAAAAACAAAAAGGTATAGACACTGATGTGCCTACCACTTAGGTTAAGATGTCAGACTCGACAAATGCAGCTGGAGGCCCTCGCATTTCTGGCGCGATAGCTTTTCCCTCCCTCATCTCCCAGGAGATAACCCTATCCTGAAATTGGTGGGGTTTTCATTTCCATGCATGTCTTTATACTTTTTATAAGTATATCCCTGAGCAATATAAATGTTTGCTTTTGGAGGCTTCATTCTATAGGAACAGCTCATGACTCTTACATTGATGCCTTCACATTTTTTTCCCCCGCTGGTGCAACTCATGTGCTTTGCTTGCAAGAAAACAGTAAATGGGAATATAACATTCAAATGTTGTAATGTGGCATTCAGTGAGTATGCCTGTTATAGAAGTGTGGATTTACAGGATTTTATATAGATATAATTGGGACACTATTTATTTAACCAATTTTTTGTAACTTGGAGTTTCTTCCCTAGACCTTCCCCTAGTCCTTTCCTCAATTTCACCATTTAAACTCATGCCCAACACTAAGTAGATTTAAAATTATAACCCTCCTCACTGCCAACATACATGCTCCCTATCTGCCTTACTGTCCCCACTCCTTCCCTCCTCTCTAATGGGAATGATTTTAGTGTTTCTCCGTCACCGAGGAGGATAGGTATTTTGGTTATCTACTATCGTATAACAAGCCCACCCTAACACTTAGTGGCCTCAAAAGCAATTTATTACCTCTTACATTTCTCTGGGTTGACTGGGTTCAGCTGGGTGCTTCTCATTTGTGATCTCTGTGTAGTTACAGGCAGATAGCAGCTGGGGCTAGAGTCATCTGAAGACTTGACTGGGGTGGATGTCCAAGACGACTCACTTGTGGCCAGCAGTGATGCCAGCGAGGCCATTGTCCAGAGCACCTGCTGCGGCTTCTCTGCATAGCTTGGGCTTTTCAAACCTTGGCAGCTTGATTCTAAAGGGGGCTTCACTAAAGTATGCAGTCTGAGAGTCCTAGCAGAAGCTGCAAGACTTCTTAGGACCACCTAACTTTGACTGTCACTCCTGCTGGATTCTTTTGGTCAAACAAACCACTTATGCCAAAGTTCAAAAGGAGGGAAATTAGATTTTTACCTTTCAATGAGAATAATAGTAAAGAATCTTTAAACTATCTCTGGAGGGTTCAGTAGGCAGTATTGTAGGACGAGAACATCCGCATTGCCCTCTACTTTATGACAATTTCATTGTTAATCCAATGT